CACTGGAACAGGGTTAGGTTGGATATCAGGAGAAGGTTGTTCCCCCAGAGGTGTTTGGGCACTGAACAGCTCCCCAGGGCAGTGATCACAGCCCCAAACCTGACAGAGCTCCAGGAGTGTTTGGCCTACACTCTTAGGCACAGGGTGCATTGTTAGGGCTGTGCAGGGTCAGGAGTTGGACTGATGATCCCTGTGGGTACCTTCCAGCTCTGGATATTCTGTGGAGCTGTGCTGGGATCAGCTGTTCTGCTCCCCTTGGTGACACTGTGCTTCTTCCCTCAGATCCAGACCTTCAACGAGGCCTGTGTGATGGTGAGGAAACCAGCACTGGAGCTCTTTGCCTACCTGAGGAGCACTAACTTCGCCCACCCAGCTGTCAGATACCTCATCTGTATCCTTTAGCACTCACCTGGGGGTAGAAAGCAAGGGAAATCCAAGTAGGTGAGTTTGCAGAGGTGAGGGAGATGGTTTGAGCCTAAGTTTAGTCTCCAGGAGGTGTTTCTGCCCCATGACTGTGGTCAGGCTGAGGCTGAACTCTTCAGGCAGTTTGAAGACCTTCATTCCAAGTCTGATTTGGCTCATGGCACAGACCTACAAGTGTTTGGGATGGAGCTCCCCAGCTCTGCTCAGTGGGGGGATACAGGGAGAAGGAACTGGGCCAGGTTTGTGGCTGGAATTCCATCCCTACTTTGACAACCTCTGAGCTCCCTTTATGCCTGTGCTGAAAGAATTACAGTCAAGTATAAACCGAAGTGGTTTTTTTTTCAGAGACTTTCCTTGACAGTCCATGTTGGAGACGGAGAGAGAGGAACAGGGAAAACCATGACCCTGTGCCATGTGATTCACTACTGCTCCAGGCAGGGCTGGTTGGTGCTGCACATCCCTGATGGTAAGAACACCCAACACAGGAGATGCTGCTCCAAGGGCAAGTGTAGGAGAGGCCACAGCAAATTGTTTTTCCATGGTGGAGAAGGCTTAAAAAGCACAACCTCTCTCTCTCAAAAAAAAAAAAAAAGGGAACGTAATGAGATGTTTTCACCTGTTTTGGGTCAGTCTGGTCTGGAGATCTGTGTGCCTTCCTCTGTTCCCAAGGGAAATTCTCAGGTAAGGTGCCTCCAGCTCTGGGGAAGCACAGGAAGGACATGGAGCTGTTGGAGTGAGTCTAGAGGAGGCACCAAGGGGATTAGAGGGATGGAGCAGCTCTGCTGGGAGGAAAGGCTGAGAGAGTTGGGGTTGAAGCCTGAGGAAGAAAAGGCTCCAGGGTGAGCAACTTGAAGTGTCCAAAGGAGCTACAAGAAATTTGAAAATAGACTATTGACAAGGGCTTGGAGTGGCAGGACAAGGGGGAATGGCTTCCCACTGCCAGAGGGCAGGGAGAGATGGGATACGGGGAGGAAACTCTTCCCTGGGAGGGTGGTGAGACACTGGCACTGGTTGCCCAAAGACGTTGTGGCTGCTGCATCCCTGGGAGTGTTCAAGGATGGGGCTTGGAGCAACCTGGGCTGGTGGAAGGTGTCCCTGCCCATGGCAGGGGGGGAACGAGATGATCTTCAAGGTCCCTCCCAACCCAAACCAATCTGGGATTCTATGACTTTCCTTACCATTGTAGCAGAGTAAGGACAAGCAATCCAAACACACTCATCACCCCCAAGTCCCATCATTATCCAAACCAACTGTTGTGTTTTGCTCACAGCTCATCTCTGGGTGAAAAACTGCAAGGAGCTTCTGCAGTCTTCCTACAACAAAGACAGGCTGGACCAACCTTTGCAAGCCTCTTCCTGGCTCAAGAATTTCAAATCCTCCAATGAACACTTCCTGAGAGAGGTCTGTAGAGCCTGACAGGTTGTCTTGGTTCCTACCTCCCCTGGGATGTGCTTCCCATCACAAATTTAACCCTAGTTCTCCCATCCCAAATCTAACTCTAGTTCTCCCATCCCCAACCTAACCCTAGTTCCCATCCCAAATCTAACCCTAGTTCTCCCCCCACAGATAAAAACCCAGAGAAGGTATATATGGGGCAAACGAGAGAGCACTGAGGAGGGAAGACCTTTGGGTGAGGTGGTGGAGCAGGTAAGGAACACCCACTGCTCCTGGTTGTGCTCTCACCTTTACCAGGAGGTCCCATCACTGTGTTTGGGGAACAGAGGGTTTCTAGAGGCCTTACAGATGTGAGGCCTGGGAAAATGGAAGGTGTTTTCAAGTCACGGTGGCTACAGAGTCGTTGTGGAGGATGGGATGGGTCTGTCAGGAACGTTGTGCAGAGAACTTGGCTAGAAGGAGAAATTAGAATGTGAAATTCCTACATTTATAGATTCATAGTGGGTGTGAAGGGGTTGGGATGGAGCTTAGAGATCATCCAGTGCCAACCCTGGGCAGGGACAGTCCCACCAGAGCAGGTTGCTCAGGGCTTGGTCCAACCTGGAATGAACAGTGACAGGGCTGGGACATCCACAACCTCCTTGGGGCACCCACAGCCTCTTCCTGGGGCACCCACAGCCTCCTTGGGGCATCCCCAACCTCCTTGGGGCAACCTGTGCCAGTGTTTTGATGCTCAGGTCCAAGCTGCTCCTTGGAAAGGCACAAAGAGGCTGTTTGCTGTGGTTTTCTCTTCCTTCCCCTTAGCAAGGGCAGCCCAGAAAGTCACAGCATTTTCCAAGCTGAGTTGTGTGTCTTTTTTCCTCTCTTGAAGGGTTTGGCTCGTGTCAGGACTGCCAGTGATGTTGTTGGGGTGGTGCTCAGGGAGCTCAAGCAGCAATGCCAGCGTGGCTCCTTCAGGCTCCTTGTGGCAGTGGATGGAGTCAACGCTCTCTGGGGAAGGACAACGCTCAAGAAGGAAGACAGGAGCCCTGTGAGGAGAGATCTGCTCTGGGGATAGCTCTGAGTCCTGCAGGGAGAGAAGGGAGAGAGTTTTGTTCAATTTTAATTCTATAGTGATCCCTGAAAGATGTTCAGTTCATGTTTTTTTAGGATGTTCAGGGGTTGGGACAGAGCTTAGAGATCATCCACTGCCAACCCTGGGCAGGGACAGTCCCACCAGAGCAGGTTGCTCAGGGCTTGGTCCAACCTGGAATGAACAGTGACAGGGTTGGGGCCTCCTTGGGGCATCCACAACCTCCCTGGGACATCCACAACCTCCCTGGATCACCCATAACCTCCATGGGGCATCCACAGCCTCCTTGGGGCATCCACAGCCTCCTTGAATCACCCATAATCTCCTTGGGGTATCCACAGGATCTTTGGGGCATCCACAGCCTCCTTGGATCACCCACAATCTCCTTGGGGTATCCACAGCCTCTCCCTGGGCAACCTGTGCCAGTGTCTCACCACCCTCCCAGGGAAAAATGTCTTCCTAATATCCAATCTAAATTCTCCTCCCTCAGTTTCTCCCCATCACTCCTTGTCCTGTCACTGCAATTCCTAACACAGATCCCTCTGCAGCTTCCCTGGAGCCCCTTCAGCTCCTGGCAGGTTGTTCTGAGGTCTCCACACAACCTTGTCCTCTCCAGGCTGAACAGAATGACTCAGGCTCAGTGCTGCAGGGCTAAGGAAAAGCCAAGACAAAACATGCCTGAAGGATACAAATGATCCTCCCAGTCTGATTGGGAGGAGGGAAGGGGAATTAATGGCTCAGATAGAAGCTGCTGGCAAAAAAACTGATCCAGACAATGTTCCCCAGGTTTCTCCAGATGAGCTGACACTGGTGCACAACCTGAAGAAGATGGTGAGGAATGACTGGGTGAGTTCCAGGTGTTCCTCTCGGCTGTTCAAGCTCCCACGAGTCCAACATCCCAATGTTCCTGCAGTGGAGGAGAACACAGGCACAGCCTTAGTGTCTCTCAGTGATCCTGACATCACCCAAAGAGAATGAGAACAGATCTGTAACAGCAATTCCTCATTCCTCTGCCAAATTCCAGTGTGGGAACCTGACCTAGAGGTGTTTATGACACTTTGGTTTATGATTATTTTTTTTGAGCTAATGACAACTTTTAGTTTCTGACTGTTTTGCTGTAGGAGGTTAACTCCTCCTGCTGCTTTGTCAGGCCCTTGGATGCTCTCCAAGGGGTAGAATGCAGATTTAAAGGCTCTCTTGGAGCCTCTTTAGGCACTGGAAGGGGTTCTAAGGTCTCCCTGGAGCATTATCCTCTCCATGCTGGATGTTTCCAGCTCTCCCAGCCAGGGCAGAGCTGCTGCTCCAGCATGGAACCTTCAGTGTCCTCCTCTGGACTCTAGCAGCTCCATCTTCCAAGAAGATACCTCACTTGGAGCTAACAGAGTTTCCATTTCTGACCTGCCTTTCAGAGTGGAGGTGCCATAGTGACCACCCTGAGCCAGACTGGTTCCCTCTTCAAACCCAGCTCTGCCTACCTGCCCCAGGAGCTGCTGGGAAAGGTAAGTCACAGCCTCTCTGGGCTTTGGTTTCTCCTCTTCACATTGGGAAACACACAACAATCCTGGCTGGAGACTTAGGGTCTATTCAGGGGGAACAGACTGTGCTGGGGGCTCTGTGGATCCAGCAGTGCCCTGGATATCTGGACAAGGTTCTTCCCCCAGAGGTGTTTGGGCACTGGAACAGGTTCAGGTTGGAGATCAGGACAAGGTTCTTCCCCCAGAGGTGTTTGGGCACTGGAACAGGTTCAGGTTGGAGATGAGGTAACAGCTGGAGCTGTGTCAGGGGAGGGTCAGGCTGGCTATCAGGCAAAGGTTCTTCCCTCAGAGGTGTGTGGGCACTGAACAGCTCCCCAGGGCAGTGCTCACAGCCCCAAACCTGCCAGAGCTCCAGGAGTGTTTGGCCCAGGGTGGATTGTTGGGGTGTCCATGCAGGGTTAGGAGTTGGACTGATGATCCTTGGAGGTTCCTTCAGCTCAGGACATTCCACGATTCTCTGAGTGAGCTCTGGTTGAGCTCTCAGCCACAGACTCACCCCAGGTCTGTCTCCCTCCCTTGCCAGGAGGGGTTTGATGCCCTGGACCCCTTTGTCCCCATCCCAGTCCCCAACTACAGCCCGAAGGAGTTCGAGAGCTGCTATGGATACTACCTGGAGCGCAAGTGGCTGCAGCACGAGAAAGGTCAGTGAGGGGATGGACACGAGGGTCTCCCTGCCCACCCTGCCCGGGGACACTTGGGGCTGTGCCCACCCTGCCCGGTGGGTCAGAGCTGTGCCCACCCTGCCCAGGGACACTCAGCACTCTGCCCACCCTGCCTGGGGGGTGCCAGCTGTGCCCCACCTGCCCGAGGAGAGATCG